GATTACGGGGCAAAATATACAAAAAAGTATGTAATATTTTTATATTTTATATATAAAATATTTTATTTTATAAAATATATTATTATTATTATTTGACTTGCATACATGACATGTTGTAGCTAATCATGAGTGTCTAACTCTGAAGTAGTGCATCTAGGGTGCACTTGATGGCAATTCCCCACAATTTCACCACAGGTCATTCATCACATGAACATTATCCATTGACTTCTGACAACCATGGAGTTTCCAAATGTTTTGCTTCAATTTTGAACAATTTAACAACTTTTTTATAATCTACATTATAAGAAACCTCTTTGAAGAAATATTTTGCTTGAAAATTGCTTATGCTTTATTTTATTAACATAAATTGCACTTGATTTAATATTTAGAAGGCAATGACGTTCAAGCATTTTTATATGGAAGTATACAATTTTGATTTTTAAAAAGTCACAAGATATGAAGTCACAGTTATGAAAAATAAAGTAGACCAGTGAAACTATGATTCCCCTTCAGGAACTCGAGCTGCGTCGAGATTCGCTTTGGGAACGCCCTTGCGTGACCGCGTTCTGAAGCACGTGTCAAATCAGTCCAATGGAGCAGCGAGACGCGGGGAACCATGGTTACATACGTAACCTAGAGACGATTTATTTACATGCTATGAATTAAAATGCAATAATTTTGTCATCACAAAGCTAAGTAGAATTCGTAATATGTTTTTACAAAATCAGTAGAATTATTTTTTTCACTTATGTAGCTTTCTTAAAAAATGTTTACTTTAAAGACTTTCAGTGCTCAGCTTATGATTCTGCTCTCACATACTGGCTTTTGTACTTTGGAAAACACATCAGTCACTGGACATGGTTGTAAAGTATTTTATGTTGAGAAGCCTTCCAGAGCTTTGAGTAAGTCTCCAACATTTCTCAAAGCTTGAAGACAGAATTATTCAGCACAAAGCAGTTGTTAATGTGGCCAGTTGAATGATAAAACCTGCAGTTTGTTCCAGCCTTCTAAACACTGGAACGGCGGTGAAAACATTCGATAACCATGGGCACTGTGCTTCATTATTTCACAGCTAGTGTGAAATAATGAAATCTCCAATGAAAAATGCAGGATTCATTGCCAATCCACATCAAGGTAAACAACTACATGAATCTCAACCAGATCCTCTTGATTTCTGCTCTGTTTTGGTTTAATCATTGTTTGACTACATTCGAGCACAACATTCTGCAAACAGTCGACATTGAATTGACGTCCTCATTGCCGTCAGTTAGTCATGTCTGAGCAGATCAAAACCAGACCCCGTCGTTGCCTTGGCGACGCATAATTTGATGACCGCCATAAGCCAAGCTGGAAAACGTTTGGAGTCCAACCAAGGCAGAAGAACATAAATCAGTGGTGATCTATAGGCTCTGGCCACAGTCTCTACACCATTCAATGTCTCATCCAGAGTTGGACGTAATGCATTAAAAATAACACGTAATCAGGTTATTTTATTCAAGTAAATAATAATAAAGTAACACATTACTTTCAAATTTACAGTTACTTCTTCAAGTAAGTAATGCCAGTCGCTTTGTTTTCTCACGTATTGACTGAAAGCTCTCCTGTCCGCTTGTTGACAGAAATCATGAGTGAGTGCAGAGGTGTTGTGTGCGCTGTGTGAACATGATGCATGATGCTTTTGCACCGGAGGAACCTTTTCATGGTTCCTAGAACTGGAACTAGGAACGGTTTTAGTTCTGGGAACTCCATTTGAAGTAGTACTTCAGAGTAGGGTCTAAAACAGATCTGTAGGAACTACTGACGTAAGTGTACACTGATTGGCCAAACACATACACCAGCTACCTGGCATTTTTAAAAAGCTATCTAAAAATATTTACTCCACGAACATGGAAAACAGCGATAACGGCATTTACCTGTTGTCTGCAGTGTTGTATTCTTTTCTCATCCTCGATAACACTGCAAGTTGTCATAGGAGAATTAGTCAGATTTTCATGCTCTTTCAATCACGTAACTTGTGCGTTTATATTACATCTCCATTATCACGAAACCCACAACACAACCAAAACAGCTCCGATTACGGCATCCTCCATTCACCGGGTTGTTGATGTTTGTTAAAGCCGTGAATAAAGACGTCGCTGTTGGTGCGAATGCAACCAGGAAAACGGCCCAAGGGGGAAACTGGTTCTCTAGGGACCACCCTGCTGGCTATTTCTTGAACTGAGTTTCTAGAACTACGCGGTGCAAGAGCGCCTGATGTTACTGTAATGCAGTGTTGGGGAAAGTTACTTTTAAAAGTAAAGCATTACAATATTGCGTTACTCCATAAAAAAGTAACTAATTACGTTACTTAGTTACTTTTTATGGAAAAGCAAAGACATTGGTTAATAGAATGGGATTAAATACATAAAGGATATTTGTGTTGTTTAACATTTAATTTTTGCAGGTTTGCGTCATATTCTGAGTTGCATTATTTTTATTCATTTTGAGGAATACTGAATCTGTGTTTTTTTTTGTGAGTGAGATGAATTAATGCATATTCATATTTATTTTAGTAACAGTAACATCTGATTTCTTTCAACATGGGGACAGGAGAGCTGTCAGTCAATAAATTGGAAAAAAAAGTAACTTGCGTTACTTATTTGAAAAAGTATCTCAGATATTCTCTTGTAAATTAAAAAGTAATGCATTACTTTACTAGTTACTTGAAAAAAGTAATCTGATTACGTAACTCGCATTACTTGTAATGCATTACCCCCAGCACTGCTGTAATGTCATCATGCATTTACTCATCACACTTGCACAAAAACAGATTAAGTATTCCTCAAACTAAATAAAAACTGGTGAAATGCAAACTTAGAATATTACACAAACCTGCAATTATTAAATAAGTTAAATAACACTAACGTCCTTTATGTATATTATCCCATTTTATTAATCAGTGTCTTTGCTGCTGACCTTCGATGATCCAATCCTTCAATCCAATCATACTAATAAGCAATAATGACTTTAGATTAGGGCTGCACAATTCATCGAAATTCTAATCGCGATTACAATTATGGATGCCACAATTACGTAATCGTTCAAAGCGGCAATTAATCATTCAAAGTCCACTTATGTTATTCTGCGTGCTTAAGATGCTTTCCAAAACTAGAACTTTTTTATATTAAAAACAAACAAGCAAGCCCAGCCCAGCCCAGATAAGAAATAAAAAATATGAAAAAGTAACATAATGCATTACTTTCCATAAAAAAATTATGTAAGTAGTTACTTTTTTAGGGAGTAATGTAATATGCATTACTTTTAAAAGTAACTTTCCCCAACACTGGTCTCATCCTCCCCTGGTCCAAAGCTTGTGTTTGGTCTTTCTAGCCCCCTTCTCCTGAAAGACAGCTGGAGGCAGATTGGAACCGGATCTCCTGTGAAGACCACAATGCTGAAGGTAGATCCAAACAAATCTACAGATTGTTCCTCTTCCGTCAATAGGAACCAAATGTTGGTTTGATCTTTGAGCTTTCGGTTAGATTCTCTGCATAGTGTTGATGTGCGTACAGACTATAATGTGGCGTGACGGCGTGCAGCTGCGGGTAAGAAACCAAAAGGAAGGATTGTGCCTGAGCCATGGTTTATTGAAATGCTTATACAAAATCACAGGTAGACAAATTCTCTTCAGCAAATAACAGGGATACATTGGCTGAGATGATCCAAAGGTTTTTTAAAGAGCATTAAAGTTCAGTCACATTAGCCAAATTTCACGGGAAAAATGTCCATTGTCTGTTGTCAGTAATGCAGCAAACCAAGCAGCTTTCTGTTGGTCAACGTGGCAAATCTGTATGACCGAGTTGCAAAATCTGTTTGGGGAATATTTCGCTCTCATTCGAAATTCCCCATCATGTTGATTCGTATTGAAATGGCTAGATTTCGCCAGCAAAAATTTGCTAAACAATTGTAAATATGAACTTTTTCAAAAAAAATTTATTTTTAAGGCCCATTACACCAAGGACAATAACGATAACAGTAAAGATGTAGTTGTAAAAAATAGTTCCACATTTACAGTAAAAGTCCACTGAACTACAACAACATAGTGGAACAATATTGTTGGAACCACTTTCAAAATGATTTTTTTCCAGCTGATGCACGATAAAAAAATTGACAGCCAATCAGAACTCCTGCTTTAAAGAGCTTGAGTATTTAAAGCGGCAGAGACAAAGACTGCAGTGTGAAACCACATTGGTGTGGACGCTAATATAATTATCGATATAGTTATCGATACTTGTGTTGAATGGGACTTTACGGTAAGAGGCATATCTAACACCCTTAAAGGGATAGTTTACCCAAAAATTACAAACCTGTATGGTTTTCTTCCTTCTATGGAACACATAAAAAAAACTACAGTTTTACAAAAGAAGTAGGCCTACAGGTTTGGAACAACATGAGGGTGAGAACTATACCTTTTAAGCCTCTGGTGCTGCTCGCCTTTTAAATGAATGTACTATATTTTATGTTACATTAAATGAATGTACTATATTTTAGTTTCAAAAATGTTTTTATTTAATGTTTTGTATTTTTAGGTGATTTTATGGTACTAAATTACATTTATGGAATAGTCATGATCCATTTATTTCTGTTAACCACTTTTTGAGCATAGACCTGAAAATGACATTTCCAACTGTCGTAAATCTTGAATGCTTTGGAGCACAGACTTACATCTGATCTCTTTCTACTCTAAGACACCTGGTAGATTATTGCTGAACTGAAAAACGTGAAACTAAAAAAAGTTATAGAAGTTTAAGTTTATTTTTGGAAATTATTTTTGATATTTCATATGAACCATATATTTTCCAGAACATATTTTACTCTAAAATATGAAAAATCTAAGCCATAAGTCTAAACAAGTTATGTTCTAAATTTGAGGTTGATATCTCTAAAAATGTGCTTTCATACACGTTTCCACTAGATTGTGGAATTGTTTTCAAGTTTTTTTGTTTTTCAAACAAAAGTTTGTTTCCAGTGCGTTCATTTTTGACCACAAACAGTACAAGTGGGACTATTTTTTTCAGAACCATTTAACCGTGTCAAATCATGTCCATGATTTCTGTGTGGTCTCATATCAAGTGCCAAAAACTGTACCATGTTCCGTACCATTCCGATGAAGTAAATAAAATAGAAAAAAAAACAAACCTACAATTTTCCTTTTGAAAATTGCTGAACAGCACCAGAGGTTTAACAGACATTTTGAATATTAGCAGTAAACAACTATGCTAATGTATCTGGCTGTTGGAAAACAGCTGTTATTTCGACTGTAATAGTCATCTGAGATGTTCTCCAGAATTGCACATGACTGGGTTTGTTCTTTCGTAGCCATTTCGAGAGTTCATTTAGAAATTAAGTGCCGTATGGACACGTCTCGTCTTGTGTTCCGAGCCTTCACCCTGGTTTCCCGTGTCCTCCTGAATGAGCTCCACGAGCAGATCCTGTAGCTGTTTTCTCACGGCCCGCGAACGCTTGGCGTCCTCCCCGCCGTCTATCTCAGCGCACTCCTGCACGGCTCGCTGCAGCGCCACCTGCAGGGGGAGCCCCGCTTTAGCACCGAGCAGCGTGGGAGAAAACCAAGGCCTGAAGATCTTCTCACAGATCACCTGCGGAGAGACAGAAAAAGAGAAGCATGACAGCTATCGACCCCAAAGGGAAAAGCATGGGTATGGATGAGGGAAGCGGCCATTAGCGCCATCCTGGTCTCGTTTCATCATCTCCGGAGCAATCATCAGCCATATTCGCTATGCGTGCCATTTGAAAGCAATGGTCTCTTCGACCCAAAGGCCTGAACGTTACAAAGCCCTCATTGTTCTGAATGGCAGGCCATACAATGGGAAAGTAGAGGTCACCAAGGGTTGCGTTAAGTGATCGGGAACGGAGAGATGGGCTCTGTCTCAGCCACCTGTGGCCCGGAGCTGGACTTGGTTTCATGCGACCAGCTCGTCTGTTAGCTTGCTCTCCTTAAGGGGAGTTGGCACTGACAGCAGGTGTTGACTACGAACGAACCGCAATGAACAGATGAAAGACGTTGCGTGACTGTGGCAAAGCATCTAATGGAGAAATTAAACCTGCATATACTTGTAATGGTGGCGGCATTAAAAAAAATAGTATTTATTGTCTTCTACTTGTAGTTACTTCATCGCAAATAATATTTTTGTAACTTCGCTCACCGTTGTTGTAGAGTATGTTTGAGTACAGATCTGTGGTTTATATGGAAGCTTATTTACACCACAGAAAGAAACAATTAAAAAATTGTTTTAATAATTACATGTTACTCATCGTTACGGTCATCTATCTCTAATAATTTCATTGCAGCTTATTTTCCTCTAACGTAGCACAGATCTGTTTTTATGGAAGCTTATTTCTGCCACAGAACCTTTTATTTTGCAGTTTTGAGTTTGTATCCCACTATTCCCACTATTTTTTCTAAAAATCAGGATTGTGAGATATAAACTATAAACTTGCAATTGCGAGTAAAAATATCATAATGTCATAACTGTGCGATAAAAAGTTGCAATTAATGCAGTTTAACTTCTGATGGCAATAAACTATAAAAATAGTTTTTGCTAAAATCATTGAATTTTACATGATCAGTTTCTGATCTGAGCCATTTGCATATCTGGTCATAAATCAGATATTTTGGGTTTTTTTATGACTGTTTATTTGTCGCTGAACTATCCCTTTTAACCCTCGCATGGCTGTGATAAATGTACTTTTTAATAGTCACTTTTTTTGTTGTCATTTTAACTCAGTGTGGCTTAATTCACCTTACGTGTTTTGTTTTTTTTTTATTTAATTTAAGTTTTTAAAAATTGTAATCTAAAGCTATTAAACTAAGATGAACATTCCAGGGTGGGGTGTTTCACACGTACGGGTCAGTTTAGAAACATCTAATATGTGCTGTTTAAAAAAAAAAAAAAAAAGTCATAAGACAAATTTTAATTGTTGGCTTGCGGTTTGAATACAGCCTTATTTATTACACAAATATCATGTGCAAAATGTAGCTTGTTTCAAATGAGCTGCAGCCTGTTGCGGTTGACTGTAGCCACAGCTGATGATGATCTGTTAAGTTTCTTCCTTTGTTTGGCCCTGTTAACCCCCATTGTGTTTAGGAGCAGTAATGACGGCGCTATCTGATTCCCTTCAGCGTTATCATGAACTATTAACATTCCGTGCATTTTTCTTGGCAATGTTTACCGCTGAAGAATGATTGTCTCCTCCGGCTATTTTACTGGTATTCCTTTGTGACAGTTTTCCAAAACAAAGTCATTTTCTTTTCACTTTCAGCACCTTACATATATAATTGCTAACCACATACTCCATAGGATTATTGAATGCTGAAATATAGAAGAATTGATGCAAATTATTAAAGAATTAGAGTATACAATGGAGTCAGAATAATGAATGCCTCGCTCACCTGAAGGTTACTGTTCTTGCGCTTTGGCCCACATCTGTTTTTAGTTTTGTCACACTTGGAAATGCAGTCGAAGAAGTTGCAGTCATTGTCACTGGTGCAGTTCTGCTCAAGTATGTCTCTCATTTTGGGCTCAAAAAAAGCCATATCCACATCTATAGCCACCACCTGTTCAGTGAAAAATAAAATAATAATCAGAAATGCAAAGTAAAGTATTTATATATACAGTCCAAAACCACGTAAATATTCTAGTATTCAAAATCCAATTTAAACCTGGAAATAAAAAATATATCAAAATAAAATAAATATTTAATATTCTACATTATTTCTAGGATGCTAATCAAATAAGTGATTTTTTTCTGTCATATTTACAAACTCCTTTGTATATATCAGATGTTTTTGCTTACATTGTAAAAATACTAAAACTAATAATCAAGATAAGACAAATCTTATAAATGACATTATGCAATCATTTGCATAGAAAAAAAAGGCAAAATAGACAATATTTCAATAGTTGTCTCAGACTATTAGACATAAATAAGACGGTATTAATTAAAAACAGATATTTAGAAATAAAACATTCGTTTCAGATGGATAGATCGACTGAATAAATGGCACAGGATTTACTCATTCAGAAATTTTTACAAATAAACAGCAAGTAGTACTGAATTAAACATGAAATTTTGATGTAGTATTTTCTTGTAAAACATTCTAGAAGCTAATTTTTGTTTTATTTCAACTTTGAAAATCTTTTTTACAGGATAGATAGATAGATAGATAGATAGATAGATAGATAGATAGTCGAATACTGTATACAGTACATAACTTCTGCGGGCAGCTCTTAGACTGATACGATACGGTAAGCATTGACAAAGCTGTTTTTTTGTTGCCGCATGCTTAACTTTTTGTTTTTGAATAAACTTGTGAATTATATTAACATATCCTTCTACATAAACAAGACAGGACAGTCAGTGATATTTCTAAAGGGTTTTCACAGCCAATACAGACTCTCAGAAATCTTCCAAAGCATCTTAAACACATATTATTTTATGCATTTTGCATTACACAGCATTTTGTTGATCTGGCACTGATTGATGGGAGTCATAGCAACACAAGCTGCATGATGTCAGGTGTTGTTTACAGTATGCTAGAAAAACCCATGAACCCCCCCGAATGAGCAGCATGTATCTCAATCTCATCGGCTCCACTAGAACACAAATGTGACCCTGGAGCACAAAAGCAGTCTTAAGTCGCTGGGGTATATTTGAAGCAATAGCCAACAATACATTGTATGGGTCAAAATTATAAATGTTTCTTTTATGCCAAAAATGATTAGGATATTAAGTGAAGATCATGTTCCATGAAGATATTTTGTACATTTCCTACTGTAAATATATTAAAACTTAATTTTTGATTAGTAATATGCATTGTTAAGAACTTCATTTGGACAACTTTAAAGGCGATTTTCTCAATATTTAGATTTTTTTGCACCCTCAGATTCCAGATTTTCAAATAGTTGTATCTCGGCCAAAATTTGACCTATCCTAACAAACCATACATCAATGGAAAGATTATTTATTCAGCTTTCAGATATCATGTGTAATGCCAAGCATTTGCTGTATAGATCGGCAGACTCTAAATATTCATTTTCATCTCTTTTTGAATCATGATCATGAGATCTGAAAAAAATATTTTAGTTTACATTATAATTCTCTTGCTTGTAAACTGACATTGCTAAAATAGTTGGCTCGTGTTTGAAGACCTCAATGTTGATATAATATTTTAGCTATGATAACCTTACTATAATAATTATAGTAATTATTAAATATTATTATTATTAATAACTACAATCATAATTATCTTAATAACCTGGAGTATTTGGACCATAATAAGCCTCGGGCAGCAGCTCTATAAGGAAATCTATAGGAAATGTAATTGAGCAATCAACACATCTTTCTTGTAGTGTATTTCATCATTTTGCCAACAGTGAGACAAGCATAATTAGTTATAGAAATACTTGACTATAATAAATATTGCAGAATAATCTAATAACAAAAAACTAATTGTTGCAATAATATTCCAATCTAATACTGGAAAGATATACAGTATATACTCTTCATAGAAATGTTTTCATTAGATTTGGATCCTTGGGTAATTCATTTAACCACAATCACATTGTAATGAACAGTAAACCGCATGCATCAGTTCATACTTTTCTGATTAAATGAAATGATTTGGCAGATCATTTGTATGGCTGGCCACTCCTGAGTCTATAATAACCAGCTGGTGAAGGCGTCCAAAAACTGAGAAATGCTCCACTTAAAGCAAATAAGAGATGAACTGCCATGATGTCTATAACAATTGTCCCAAATCCTGCCTTAAAACCACAATTTAAGGCCTTAAAAACTCATAAATTGCATTGCAAAAATGGATCTTCCACAGTATTTTTGTTTTGTTTTCAAATACAAATATCTAAACATACTTAAGTCTTGTTTTCTAAAGAAAATTCATCAAAATTAAGTGAGTTTATACTTAAAACAAGAACAAATATCTAAGTGAATTAAGTAGATTTTTTTGAGCCCATTGACAGGTGTTTGTTTGTAAACTTGCTTCATTTAGATCAATTTATGTAAATGTATCTCAAGTAAATGTAAAAGAATCTTTAGACATTTGCACTGGAAAACAAGACAAAAATACTGATGAAGAACAGAAGAACATCACTTTTTTCCATTCAAAAGTAATGGATATTTTTTGGAAGCCATATTTTCAGATTTTTAAATGTGCTCCCTAGACATTTACATTTAGAGAATACATTGACGTATTGTGTTTTCTTTCTTTTTATTCCTTAAAATAAAAAGTCTTATTTTTTTCTCCCACAATTTAAGGCCAGAAATTCGTACATTTATAGCCATGGCATTAAATGTTGCAAAATGTTTCTCAAGTAAATATATCTTGATTTAAGAATCTTTATACATTTTCACTGGAAAACATCACTTTTTTTTTGCAGTGTGATCAGAAAGTGCGGTAAAAGTTATTTCTATTCTAATGGCTTGGAGCAGAGCTATTCAAGCCATCAATTATTTATTTATGAAACAAATTAAAAAGTAATAGAGATCTTTTGGAAGTTATATTTTCAAATGTTATGCTCCATAGACATTTACATTTAGAGAGTATATTGACATATTGTATTCTATTTATTCTTCTAACCATTCTATCTAGTCTTTAAATTTTCTTTACTTCTTGTCTTCAATTGACCTTCATAATTCAAGATTTTTTTTTATTTGTCACATACAGGGTTATATAAACCCTGCTGTTAAGCGTTTACTCACCGTCAGGTCCTTCCTGATAGCAAAGTTCTCTGGTTTGATATCACAGAGGTGTAACGCTCGCGAGTACGTCCGCTCGTTCTCTTTCAGCTTTTGGCCCCACAAGCGGGGCAACGTCAAGTTAGTTCCCGTCTCCAAGCCCAGAGAGTTCTTGATCTCCAGCGTGGCATAGAAGACGACATCCAGCGGCGAGAGCTCCTCCTCGCCTCCCGTTCCTCCCGCTGTATCCTGGTACTCCAGCAGAGCTAAAGCCTCATAGGAGGAGAAGTTCTCCAGCTTTGACTTGAGAACGACAGGCACCCCACGCCAGCTGGCGGCCATGACCTTCTTGCCATTCTCGTAATAGAGGCAGCGTTTGTATTCCACACGACCGGCCACGCAGAGGTCCTCGCAGAGGTCACCGGTCAGAACTCCCTGCTGATACTCGGCACACTGAAACAGAGACACATTAGAAGTGAAATGTGCACTGTGATTGTGGTTTGGCTTCTATCAGCAGTGATTTAGACACCATAAATATATATATACACTGCCGTTCAAAAGTTTGGGATCAGTAAGACTTGTAATGTTTTTTAAAGAAGTCATCAAGGCTGCATTTCTTTGATCAAAAATACAGAAAAAAAACAGTAATCTTGCGAAATGTTATTAGAATATAAAATAATGGTTTCTATTTTAATATCCTTTAAAATATAATTTATTTGAACATTTATTCAAAATATAAATCTTTTCTAACAATATAAATATTTGCTATCACTTCTTAATGTGAGAAATGTTGAAGGTGTCTGAATAAATTTTGCTTTGACTGTATATCTCGCACGTCTGACTTTGTCTCTCGTAATTATGAGTTTGTATCTCATAATTCTGACATTATTTCTCACAATTAGGAGTTTGCATCTCACAGTACTGAATATATTCCTTGCAATTGTGAGATTATATTGCAATTCTTCCATAGCTTTCAACATGGATAATAATCAGAAATGTTTCTTGAGCAGCAAATCAGCATATTAGACTGATTTCTGAAGATCATGTGACACTGAAGACTGAAGTAATGATGCTGAAAATACAGCTTTACATTACAGGAATAAATTACTTTTTGAAATATGTATTAAAGCAGAACATTTTTTTAATTTTAATTTCACAATATTACTGTACTTACTGTAATTTTGACCAAACAACTGCTGCTTTTGTAAGCATTAAAAGATACTTCTTTCAAAAATTATTTTTAAAACCTAATCAAAGTAGACAGTAGTCAAAGTAGATTATTTTATATATTTTAATAAGTACATGTCAGAATAAGTATGTTGTTTTGTTATTTAGTAAGTTATTTGAAACATTAAAGTAGACACTTTCTTACTTGCTTGCATTTCATATGTATATATTTAAAAAACTTTAGATTTTACCATTATGTTTATTATTTATATTCAAGTCAAGTACCAATTTTGATAGTCTCAGTAGGATGTGTGTCATGTCAAACTAATTTTCATAGCGTTCAAGCTGTTTTTAATCAAGGCATGTATCTTAATTCCATCTCATATCCCACTTATTGAATATGTGCCTATGTTGAGATACGGCACCAATGCCACCTGTCAGCATATTTTACTGGCATGCATGAAATTCACATATTTAATCTTGCAAAACAGTCTAATAATCATTTTTATGCGGGGTGTTAAAACCGATCTGCTTTTGCTCTTACATTTTTCCTCTTTGACCCTCTCATGAAAAATGAGGTAATTACTGGTTGTTGCTGCAGTCCGCACATATATGTGTCAGTTCAGGGGCTCCGGGGCTTCGGATGATTTGTGTTCCACAGAGATTACACCGCAAATCGTCCTCTGTCACCTTCCAAAGTAAACAGCTGTTATCCGCGCTCAGTCCGGCTCATACAGTATCTGCATTGGCTTGAGCATGTTAGCGATGATCACATTATGATTATCAATCATAATGGTTTGGTGGATGATCTCCCATCCCTTGCTTGTCCCCTTACATAAAATATGTCCTCTGTGTTAAAAAGGCCTGCTAAAGCTTTTTACTGTTGTGTCATAAAACTGAACCTCACACATTTGTATGATTAAAAATGGCTAAAAATGGCAGTGATAACACTAGATTTTTACATTCTCTGAAGACAGTGTAAGTGACTGTCACTATGCCAACATCATGTGGATGTGCAAATTGTCTCAGGTCATAAAGTCTGTGATATTTTGGCTTGGATTTATGACATTTTTTCATTTGTGTTTCATCGGAAATCTTAAGTTTGAACACATAGAAAAGTAATAGCGTTGTGGGATTAAAATCGGAGCAGATGGTGAAGGCATCAAAAAGTTTATAAATGCTCGTTCTTACGCAAATAAGAGTGGCAATGATGTCAATAAAAAAAAATGTACCAATTCTACCAAAAATGCTGGAGTTTCTTGGTAATTTCAGTGAAACTGTAGCTGTGTTAAAGCAGTTGTTCATCAAAAAAGGAACATTTGCTGACAATGTACTCGCCCTCAAGCCATCCAACATGTAGATGAGTTTGTTTCTTCATCAGATTTGGAGAAATATAGCATTCCATCACTTGCTCACCAGTGGATGCTCTGCAGTGAATGGGTGCCGTCAGATTGAGAGTCCAAACAGCTGATAAAAACATCACAATAATCCACACCACTCCAGTCCAGCAATTAATGTCTTGTAAAGCCAAAAGCTGTGTGTTTATGACAAACAATTCCATCATTAAGATGTTTTTAACTTAAAACCATCACTTCTGGCTAAAATATGAGACTATAATCCATAATAACGCTTCCTCCAGTGAGAAAGTACATCCCCTGTTTGCCTCTCACATCAAAATCCACCCACAGATTTATTTAGAGCTGTTTTGGCTTGTAAATGGTGCGTGATCTGTGCAGATTTCTCTCCTGATTCAGACAAGTATACACTATTCACTGGAGGAAGCGTTGATAGTACAGGACTTGTATTTTTACCTGGAAGCAAAGGTAGGAAGTTAAAAACGTCTTACTGATGAATATGTTTCTTACAAATAACTTTTGGCATCATAATGTAATAACTGATGGACTGGAGTGCTGTGGATTACTTGTGGATTATTGTGATGTTTTTATCAGCTGTTTGGACTCTCATTCTGACGGCACCCATTCACTGCAGAGCCTCCATTGGTGAGCAAGTGATGCAATGCTACATTTCTCCAAATCTCCAATGAAGAAATATTGGTAAACTATTTCTTTAAGAGTGTATTAAATTCACATCATGTGTACTTTTTAAGTAAAGTTCGCATTTTCCTGATTCTGATTGTGACCGTGCTTTGAAAGCAATTGCAGACAACTAAATTACTGTACAGTTTTCTCTCCAGCATGTGAGCGTGTTTCTTCTGCACCAGTAGACACGTACAAGTAATAATAATAGCCAGCACCAGTAGTTACCTGAGTTACACCCAGTTGGTCGCTTTACCATGACAGCACTCTTGAATAAAGCACTTGAATCTCAGAGGTCTGTTATCAGCTCGACTGAGTCTAAACATAGAAAGAGCTTCCTCCCTACAGACCCTCTCATGGGCCTCTCACGGTGTTTATGTGGGCCAAACACGCATGTTGTGCTCTGTGGTCACTCTGCGGCTTCTGCTCTTTTTTCGACACTGTAAGTGCCAGCCAAATTCCCCACATGTGTTTTAATTCTTCAGATGAGACAACAGCTCCTGTATGCATGTAAACTTTCCCACTGTGAGGCCCAAATCCAATGTATGTTTGTGTTTCAGTATAGAAAGCATTTAGAGATTTGAAAAATGAATGTGTGTAGGCAGAGAAAACAGAGTAGTGAGACTCGGCTCGGAGAAAGTGACTCGTATGTTGTAAATCATGGCTGTGTTTGTAATCTAGTGGTTAGGATGACAGAATTTATTATTTTCTTTTTCATTTGGTACAAGAAAGAAGATTAAGTACTGGATTTGACAGTTCTCAGAACTTTGGCAATGTTCTCTCAAAGTTATGAACAAATGTTTTCCAGTAATGATTAGTTAGGAATGTTAGTTTAAACTTATCTGGTCTTAAATAATGTTCTCAAAACATTAGCACAAAAATGTTATTTATATATCATTCATAGGATGTTTTTCTTCTAAAATGGTTTAGTTGGACGCTCATCCAACGTTTTTTAAATCAGTTCAGGGAACATTCAAAAGTAGCATTGCCATAATGTTTGCAAAATTCTCAAATAGAATGTTCCTGCATTTTTGTAACAAAGAATGCTGAAAAAAAAAATAAAACATTCAAAGAGAACATTTAGAAATAATCTTTTCATAACTTAATGGGAAAATTAGAAAAAACGTTCTTATAACATACTTTTGGTTGGTTTGGCACATCATGTCTGATGCTTTTAATCTGAATATTTTAAATTAACTAGTAATGTATTTGTTTATTTATTAATTTATTTATATTTTTGGTTGCATTTACTAAATACACATCACATTCTTAACATAATTATATATATATTTTTTTTTTTGTCATGGAAAAATCTATAACCATTGAATATTTTTGGCTTAATGACATACTGTATACACAATGTGGAATTTTTAGTTCCAGACTAAAATTAGACTCTGGAAATATGCATCCTCTATCCAGTCAGGCTGTTGATAGTTAGGCTATATATTTAGCACTGTTTGCATCAAGCATCACTAATACTAGCTTATGATTTGTACAGCATTAAACCCTGGTACTAACTCATCCTGCACAGTTTGTGCTTTAGACATGAGTCATTGTCGAGGAGAGGTGTGCTGTTACTAAGCAATTGCAACTTACTTTTTTCACCTGGTGGAAAAACTGAAAACACACTCTCACACTGGAGGAGGCACCATATTGAGACATATCTAGGGAGCAGAAACCTAAAAGGCTCCTGCGAGACGCGCCAGTAAGCAAGCACAACTCCAGTGCTGAGTGCGGACATGAAATAAGAGGGAAACAATATTTTTTTTATGCTTCTGAGCATGTAAGGTAATGATTAAACATTAGGCCCCAGAGAATAGCAGTCTATTTTCTGTATTGCCATCTGGCCTGAGTGCTGGCCAGTCCCGGCATGCCAAGAATGTCTGCATAGGCTGCTCTGGGTCACTCCATCATTTTCACTTTACAAGAAACTCAATAAAACTGGGATACAACCCGAGAAAAGGGCCTATTGTCTGCCAGTGTACTCTTATATGCCAATAAACACATACAGTGGCCCCTAAAAGCTCCATTTAAAAACATTAAATTTTATTATACACAAAATATATAAATCAGCTGGCATCTGCAAACAAATGAATGCTCGAATAATGTTTCTGAGCCATTTTTAATCAGTTGGTGTTTTGTTTTTTAGTGAATGTATGAAGTCAGTGTTTTACATTATATATCCTACCATTCAAAAGTTTGGGGTCAGATATAATTTTAATATGTTTTAATACTTTTATTCGGCAAGGATGCATTAAATCGATGTGATTGATTTATTTCTAACAAATGCTGCTCTTTTGAACTCATCAAAGAATCCTGAACATAATGCATCATGGTTTTTACCAAAATATGAAATGGCACAGCTGTTTTCAACATTGATAATAATCAGAAATGTTTCTTGAGCAGCAAATCAGCATATTAGAATGATTTCTGAAGGATCATGTGACGCTGAAGACTGGAGTAATGATGGGAAAATTCAGCTTTGATCATAGCAATAAATTACATTTTACAGTATATTGAAATAAAAACAGGTATTTTAAATTGTAATAGTATTTCACAATATTACAGTGTTTACTGTATTTCTGATCAAATAAATGCAGCCTTGGTGAGCAGAAGAGACTTCTATATGGCTGTATATTTCCAAATGACTATTTGGTCTCTCCAACATTATGATTTCTTATTTTGAAACTATCTAAATTACACATCCGAAACATTAATCCTACTACCAAACAATGATCTGTGCATGAAAGTCCATCAAGTCAGTGGGCCATGTCTGCCCACCGCATGGAAGACCATCTGCACTTAACCTTCACATTAGAGTATAAACAAAGCATGAAACCGTATCGAGAGTCTGCAGCAGAGCACCACTAAAACAACAGTTAGGTTCGTTTCATGAACTCATGCCAACAATTCTATTATACATAGGCCTGGTTGCACAGGTGACAGATGGTGCCGCTGATTAAAAAAAGGTCTCGTGTAGTTCAAAGAGTATCTGCCCAAAGCTTCTCAGCCACATGCTGCCAGAAACTATAAACAGTTTATTGTGTGAAGGTGCACCACTCGCCGCTGTTTATTACAGTGCTGAAGCCCTTAGTAATGCTAACTGTTTGGCAGATTATCAGACTGTTTTTACAATTCATCAACTGAGAAATAGGCTTTTGTGTTTTGGAGATGAACTGTAATAAGGCATGAATGATGGGTAAGTTGCGTTATCATAACTAAAACCTCCAGGAATGGTTTTGGTCTATATTAAAGTGCTAAATTATTGAGTCACCTATCAATCGTCACACTCGTTGCAAATAAACATGACTATTAGCGTTTTACGTAAGTGTTTAAAACAAGGTGTGTGGTCATAAGAGGAAACGAGCTGACAACTTAGGGTTGGATTTGATTCTGCAGCATTTCCAAATAAACATCTAATGTGAATTATTATGAGAACCATCTCTGCGCTTTTGAACTGCGCTAATAAGATAATTCAGTGGAAAATTAGACACAGAGTACAGCATAAACAAATCAAAACTCAAAAGCTTGTATTATTCTCATTTGTAAGCCGCTCTGGATAAAAGCATCTGCTAAATTAATGAATGTAAACAACATTTTGGCATCCTACAGCTGACAGCTTTTCCCCCCTTGTAAAATAATGGATGATTGAGAATTAATGTGAGAGGACTTCGAAAAAAAAAAATGTTTATCATCTTATATTTATGAATATTATTGATTAATAAAAGTCCAAATCTACAAATACAGCAAAAAAAGTACAGGATTTACTTAGAAAATTAGTACATTTCACAAATAATTACAAAGAAATGACAAGCTTCACACTGAATTAAACATGGAAATTTAGAAAGGTAGAAAAAACTTAAAGATTATGTTCTTGTAAAAAGTATTAAGATTAAATAGAGTAGCGCCAAACATGCGTCCAGGGGAGAGAAAAAAACATAAACATGTCTTCAGGTGCGTAGATCTTGATGTATGCGGATCTTCATTTTTCATTGTTTGACTTACCAATAAAATGTGTTTTATTTACATTTTCAAAAAATTACATTCTACAGTTATTTTACGTTGTACCTTTTGACTGTGCAGATACTAAGAGGTTGGAAATGTTTTAGCAAAGAGCAGGTTCTTCAGCTATTTAAAGAAAAGAACACAAAGTAAAACAAAACAACAAAACAATTCTGTGTGGAATTAACTCATTGTCAGTAACTCCCTATAGAGCCTTGAACTGTGATTCCTGAGCCAAAATATTCTCGCTAAACATCCCTGAGAATTTAAAAATGACTACGACCCAACAATTACAGCAGCCAGTCTGTTATTTTCACTTCATCCTCATTGCCAAAATGACATACACCTCATAGTTACTATCTCCACCCAGTCATCATTTGCACAATATTGGCAGCATTCCATCGGCTTGCAGCTGTTGAATTCAATATTATATTTATCTCAGCCTGCCCAAATATTAAGAATTAGATGACTTTTGTGTCATGATCTTAGATATTACAGGAGCAAAAAAATGTAATTCACTCAATTTCTCTTTCATGACAGCTCAAATGATTGCATCAGTCAAAGTTACTTCAAAAGCATGATTTAAAATGAACTAGTCTGATACATTTATTAACTTTGATGTATAAAACTATATGTGACCCTGGAGCACAAAACCAGTCATAAGGGTCCATTTTTCAAAATTGAGATTTATACACCATCTGAATAAATAAGCTTTCCATTGATGTATGTTTGTTAGGATAGGACAATATTTGGTCGAGATACAACTATTTGAAAATCTGGAATCTGAGGGTGCAAAAAATTCGCAATACTGAGAAAATCGCCTTTAAAGTTGTCCAAATGAAGTTCTTAGCAATGCATATTACTAATCAAAAATTAAGTTTTGATATATTTACAGTAGGAAATTTACAAAATATCTTCATGGAACATTAATATCCTAATGATTTTTGGCATAAAATAAAAATCAATAATTTTGACCCATACAATGTATTTTTGGCTATTGCTACAAATATACCCCAGCGACATAAGACGGCTTTTGTGCTCCAGGGTTACATATATATATATATGACCTATATATGTATAAATCTATATATATATTTATACTAAACAGAAAGTTTGATGTAGGATTTACTTTGAAATGAAATTTCAACATGAAATTTTGTAGAAAGACTGGAATCTTTTCTTAAAGTAAAACATACTCCAATAATCCATTTTATTTAACTTTGAAAAATAATTTTTACAGTGTATATATGTTCTTTACAATTTGACATTTTAGTGCTAATATTATTAATGATTATTATTATTATATATATAGTTTTTTGTCCAATTAACAATATTTGTTCAGTATTTTAACTGCATTCTGATAATGAAATAATAAATCAATAAAATCGCTGAATCTGCTCATGCCAACACATTTAGTTTGAGTAATGATAGTTTGCGTGCAAAAACTTTCCCATTAATTGACACCAGTAATCGTATTCCAATCCCCGTTTAAAGGCCACCAGGATTTTGCGGCTCCCAATGTGGCAACAAACAAAATGTTCTTTCAGCGCTCACTTGACATCACATAATCCAGTGGCTCTAAAAGAGCTTTAGGTTTCCCCCGAGGAACAAAGCTTAAGCCTTTAATGGAGGCGCGTTACTGCTGGTACCCATGATTCAATGCTTGACGGAGTAATCCTACAAAATGCCTTGTGTGTCATTTGGTGGAAAATTGATCAAAACCCCCTAAGGTATCGCTACAACTGCGACAGGACAGCTGATTGTATTGAATTATATTTTGAAAAATTAGCCTATTGATCTGTTGTAAAAGTACTTAAGTATATCTGAAGTTTAAGGCAAAATACTACAGGCGAACCGGTGTTTTTTTCACGCACTGGTCAGTTTTCAGATTTATTTTGCTTCTAGTGTGAAGAATTGTCAATAGAATGCATCCAAAATACACATTCAAGTGTTTATTTTATTACATTGTATCTATTTGCATCTGAAGTTTTCAATTATAATACATATCTTTAAAGCCTTTGAAAGCTTTTGCATACGACAAACTAAACAGTTTCATTCCTATTAATATTCTGAAGGTTTTTTACAAAGAATTTATATTTCATTCCAGTGTTTTTTTTTAGTACAGTTGAGATACAATCATAGTTTGTATTAATATTTTGAATCAGCTTTTATTTTATATTTTCTGTTATATATTTTATACATTCTATTATTTTTATGTTATATTGAAGTTTTAGTTATTTTGTTGAGTGTTTGTCATCTCGAGTAGTTTTGCTTTTGTATGCATGTATATCGTTTTTATTATTTTTTTATTTCAGTCTTAGTTTTAGTTATTTTAGTACATAAAGTTAAACTAAATAACTAATAAAAATAATAGATTTTTTTTTTTCTCAGTTAATATTGATTTCAAGTATTGAAAATTACTTGACAGACACCTGTAGTGTCTTCCCTTAAGTTTAGACGACATTTTACACTAAACAAATGCAAATATATATAAGTGAGCCTGGACCACAAAACCAGTCATAAGGGTCAATTTTTCGAAACTGAGATTTATACGTCATCTGAAAGCTGAATAAATAAGCTTTCCATTGATGTATGGTTTGTTATGAGAAAATCATCTTTAAAGTTGTCCAAATGAAGTTCTTAGCAATGCATATTACTACTCAAAAATTAAGTTTTGATATATTTACGGTAGGAAATTTACAAAATATCTTCATGGAACATGATCTTTACTTAATATCCTAATGATTTTTGGCATAAAAGAAAAATCGATAATTTTGACCCATACAATGTATTGTTGGCTATTGCTACAAATATACCCCAGCGACTTAAGACTGCTTTTGTGCTCCAGGGTCACATATATTTTTTAAATTTGCTCTTTTTTCAAATTAGGCAAGCCTGACAAGTTGATATCCAGACTTTTTGGTCATATCCATAAAGTACAGACTTTTTGCTAAAATACTGATTTGAGCGATGACAAAAGTTAGCCTTACCACCCTCTGCAGGATCTCTTTGCTCTTGTCTTCAGTGCAGAAGTCAGAGAACATGTTCCTGTGCACAAACACCAGGCCGTTGAGGAAGAGCCAGGAGGCCAACCACAGCAGGACGACGAGCAGAGCGCTCCTCCGGCACACCTTCACCCCCAGACACCTGAGGGCCCCGCGCAGGGACCGCCACATCTGTCGGGACCCCCTTCGGCAGGAGCCCTCTGCTTTCCACTCAAGGGTGAGGGAGTCTGTGGCATCTGTGGAGGATGTGCGCCTCGCTGCTCTCGCTCGGGGTCGGCGTTTGCGGTTAACCTCCTCCTGACGTCTCCTCGGGGCGCTCCGCTGCTGCACTGCCTCCTGTTACACGGAGCAGATATTTCTCTCGGCTTCCTCTCCGCCTTCCTGCGTTTGTTTTGTGAATGAGTGAGGTGAGTGCCGGAGTGTGAAGAACGCCTCAGAGTCGAGGCCGGACTCGCTCTGCCTCATTCAGTTACTCTCACTCTAGGCTCCAATGTGTTTTCACTCTGCCTCTAGCTCTCTATTCCCTCTCTCTCTCTCTCTTTATACAACACTCCACCTTTTTTCCCTCTGCCTCCCGCCCCCTTCTTGAGTGCTTTCCTCCTTTGGGTCGCCTTCTTCTCTGTTTCCAAGGCAGCCGGGCCTTTCCTGACGGCGCACAGTGCCAGATCCGTCTCTTGTGCCAGACGCAGACCCTCG